GAGGAACGTTTGTAATCTGATTGCCAAACTCGGCAAACAGAACCTGATCAACCAGCAATGAAGGCACCAGAGCTACCGATATACCGATACGTTTCATTAATTCCGATCCTACACGCAGCGGCTCATGTACCCTTAGACAATCTGTTCTCGGTAGAGTCTCTTCTTCCTCGAGGGCCTAAACAAAAGTCGAAGATAAAGCAATTCGGAAGGCCTATCCAAATGTCTTCCAATGTACACATGTCTGGTCACAAGATGGCAGTGAAAGAGGACTCCCGTAAAACTGAAATCCCACAAATGAAAGAACGACATCCTCCAACCTGAATGTTTTAAACCATCCGATCCTATTTAGCAAAACCGACCCGCGCTTAAAGTCCATTACGCAAATATTTTCACTGAGTTGTTTTGGTCGACGAAGTTTTCCAGACCGGACTACTACAACTGGAGTATACTAAAAACAAATTTGTTATTCAAATGATGACACAATTAACAAAGACTTCTTGGGCTGCGATGGACTTCATTAAGAAACGGACACTTAATCAAGAATATAGCCAACCTGGATTTGTGACTTTACGGGCTAGAGCGACATAGACTCCCTCAAACGGGGCTGGGTTATGGATGACAAAAGTAAAAGCGTAAAAAATGAGTTCTTCTCTTCAGTTTTGTTTTAATTCCCGCTGTGTAATTAACAATAATTTCAAGCTCCTCGGTTATGGTCGGGTCTGTGCACCCACAAAAATCGCATTAGCTGAATGCTGATAGTGAGCATTGATCTGTGGACAGAAAGGAACCTTTCGGTGGGTAGTTTCCAGCCTTAGCCTTGGACCATCTCGAGCTAGTAAGCCCTCGGAGCAAGGTTAAAATTACAGCTGATATCTGTTGCCTTGTGCATGATGTCGAATGGTTTGGACAATCAAAGATTTAATGACTCTAGTTGGAGAGTATTTGAGGTGCCGTTGACATTCCATGTTCCCGCATTAACTGTCGGCGCTACTTTTTTTCAGTCCGCGTATCCCTCACGTGGAACAAACTACCAACATCTGTTGTGGATTGTGGTAACCTCGAGACTTTCAAACATTCGCTTGACGAATACATAAGATCTCACCCAACTTCCCTCATCAACATTTGAGATGCAGATTACAAACAATAGAACATATATGTTATATCATTCCGTTTATCTGTATACATACACACACACACACCAATATCCTTTGGTCATCGTAAAGCAAAATGCTTTTTAGACCAATATAACCTTGATTTACCTTGATTTACCTTGATTTACTGCACATCAGTCTAACTAGAGGCGTGCAATGCCTTTAGCTAGTAACATATGGCTCAAATTTGCAAATAGTTCGCGTATGGTGACACCGAAAACTTTTGTACATTTCCGTCAAAATGTACACTGGCTGATAAGTGCTATTTCTTAGACACGTGTGGTAAGTTGAGCCCCATCCACTCACCAGGTGACACACTTGATGGCCAGGAAGGATGAAACGCTAGGATGCATGACCAGTTAAGTGGTTCAGGTTCTGTTCGAAGCCTATGATCAACGTTGTTGCCTATCCTGTGAAACTGAGTACTGACTTACATTATATACCACTTGATAATGAGATTACTAAGGAATAAGAGAGTTCACCGGAGGTCTCCACATAATGTTCTACAAGCAGTGCATCGAGAAACGGACAACTGAGGAGTTTTTCAGCCAGGCATGTCCTAACGCTGCTGAAAAAGAGTCGGTGAGGTAAAAGACGGTTTTCATGAGTCGCGCACTTTTGACGACCGTTTGATGGCCTTATCCATTGAGATGAAACAGCGTCATCAGAGCTAGCTAGCGCTACGGTTGAAGATGAAATCCTTGGTACAACAAGCGAACATAAAATCTACCAGTCTTGCGAAGTGGATCCATGTAACACAAGAGATCTAGCTTACTTGGAGTTGAAACAGGCAGAAATTCACATTTTGATGTGTTTCGTGGGAAGTTTTCCGACGCAACCGTTAGTTTTCAGTTTCTTGCGGAATTTGAGCACCCCTAGCTTTGTCCGAAATCCCTTGAAATGTGGTTGCACAGTCTTTACAATTATGGTAATAGAAGTGTCATAACCAATAGGATGCTGTAGTCGCCAACCATAGGCACCCAGGCTGCTGTTGAAATCATCTACTGGGACGTATTGCCTGACGTATCGTCTAGTATGCAACTTAATCTAGCGCGTAATTTGTAAACTCAAAAAAGTGCACACAAGACTGTTGTTCGGAGGTTAGCCAGTTCCTCCGTTTGCCGCCCATCCAACCGTTGCAGTGGAGTTCTAATGCCTGAAATGCACTGCATTTATGCTTCCGTATACCGCCAAACAATGAGTTATATAAGTCCACTCGGATTCGATTAACACTAGAAGTGAGAATAAAAACTCTTCTCGCAGTGAAATCATAGGGTCACCCATGTGTTTTATCGCAACGCCATACTCTGTAGATGGGGTTGAATAACAATTAGTCAGCAAGTGACGGATGCCACCAAAAATCGACTCCACAATTCATGAGGAAATTATCTAAGTTGACACATGGGTATATCCTGTCGCACATTTTCTCGTTTATTTTTGTTGATTTTCTCACTCCATGAGGCTGTTGGGAGGGCGACTAAGAACACTAACATGGTTCCTGCCTATGGCAGTCTGACACGACGGCTATCTGTAGGAAGCTGCGTGTCCATCACCTAAGAACACAACATGGTTCCTGCCTATGGCAGTCTGACACGACGGCTATCTGTAGGAAGCTGCGTGTCCATCACGCTTGAGTTAACCCAATGATTAACGGCTTCATTCAGGTTCAGCACGACGCCTGGACAAGCAGAGCGAAGAAACGAGCATTGACTTGTAACTACTGATAAGAGTGCTTGAAGTCAATGACGTTGTATTCGTCCTGTTAAGCTCTTTCTTGAGCTAAAAATTCATTGAATAATACCGTCTTGTTCACCCAAGGTGAAAGAGCTGGGTAGCCTGACTGCTATGGGAAAAAATTCAATCTGTTTCCTCTATGGAGCTGGCGCAAAAGTCCTGCACAATTCAGTAGTTACTTGATTTCAACAGTTGATTGCAAACAGTCTACGTTAATTAGGGACGTCGTGTTGTTGTCATAGTTCCTGGTATAACAGACGAAACCGTTTCATAGCTCAGGTTAGTATTGACCCGGATTACTTAGGAAAATTCAGTACTGATTTCTATGCCCATTTTCGAAAGGCTCTGTGCTTCAATAGCTCGAAATCCCGGATGGGTCTAGTTTGATAAGTCACGTATTCCTGTACTAAACATGTTTTTTGGGAAGTTTCCTCTGAGTTTGTTCTATGAATCCAACCACTTGTGCAAACAATAATCGCAATGAGTCGGCAAGAGCTGTGTGGGTCGCCTGTCGGTGCGATTGTATCTGCTCATTCGTATCAAAACCATGGAGAGTGCTCATGGGATTCTGAAACGACCTTTTTGCTGGGGGCCACCGTATACACAGCTTTGAGAACTGCATTTCGATTCATAAAACGTCTTGGGTTATTGTGCTATTGATTCCTTGAATCGATTTTGTCCTCCTTTGCCACGGTCCGATCATGACAGTTTCTTTAGCTTGAGAGTCACTCTGCTTAGTGTCAAAACACAACATAACCTTTCGGACAACGTTTGGCTGGATCATTGAGATTTAACACGTATGTTCCTTTGCCAGGTTCACCAGATTTATTCGTGGTTTTCCCCTATACCGTTTGTTCATGCACCTAGGAGACTTAATAAAACTAACCTAGTGAAACTATCACCTTAATAAAAGGTGTCATCATTTGGATTCTTCAAGTTAAAGATTTCTCGATTTCCATCTCCTTTTCTGCTTTCTATGTTAGAGAACAGATGTTATTCATCAAGCTAATCGACGGATATAGATCAATACAGGCACGCTTCGACATGTTTTGAATGCGGAGGCTTAGGTCGCACCGGCAGAAATCATTCTATCAAACTGGAGTAGGAATTAACCGTGTACGGGAACCAGCAAAAAACTGATACCCTACCTCAGCCACTGCTGGCCCAGATACTGGACATCTGCGTCACCACATTGGTGCGTGCAACTGCTTGCTGGCCAGCCTACGCATGTGAAAATCCGCCACATTATGCCCCTCATAGAGCCTTTATGCGGACGTAAAGTCCGTTGGTCTTTTTTCATTTCCGCCGAAAGCCTATTCGCCAAAAGCTGTTTCTACCTACGTACTGCTGGTCCTGTTAATTTGAACTAAAGAAAATCGAACACACCACGCTGTTTCTTAAGTGAAACCGACGAAAAGACGGAATAAATGTGAACAACCCAAGATACAGGACAGTTCATGTGTAGTCTGATGTGTGCGCTGCATCTATACATCTGAACACCTTAGGTCACCGTAAAAGTGAAGAATTAAGGCTTCCCGAAAGCCTCATGACGTAGAGGCTTCGAGTTAGATATCGGTAAGCCACCTTACAGTGAATGAGACTCGTGCTGTAAGTTGCCTTGGCAACTACACAGAGTACGACTCCTCAACCTGCCTGTACTCAGATGACACCAGAAGCTTGATGTCAAATAATCCCTTTTGAAAAAAAGAAACAGAACGAAGCAGAAAGGGATTGGTTGTTTGAGAAGATTACCTAACAGGAACATTTTACATACATGTGACCTCAAATTTCGTGTAGCTTGTTTCACCACATTCTGAGAGTGGTGAGGCTGACCGCACGTGTACCTAAGCGTGGACTACTGACTGGACAAGTGAATGTGTTGAGAGAGGGAAAAAACTAACACTCAAACGCACCTGAAAGTAAGGAGCGATAGGTGTTCGTGGGTTTTGGGCGCAAAAATAAAGTCCAATTTAAAAATGGTTCACCCGGAATAAATCTCGAAATACTTGGATATGGAGAAACTATAAATATTCTGGCTTCGGGAATACTGTAGATGGGTATATATTCAATAATATCCGAAGAATAGGGTCAGTCATGCAGTACAGTAGCACTCACCCGGAAGAAGGTTGGCCGGCGGCTTTACCCTTTTTCTTACGACTCTTTCCTTTAGCAGACGGCCCTGCATCAGTGGCAGACGGTATTTCGGTTGGGCGAGAATCGTCCGTCAATGAACTGTTTAACAAATGAACAAAGAGAGTCAGTCATCAGTACTATGTAACTTGAACATCGCATGTTTCGATCGTCTTCTACAATGTGACTAACAGGTAGAGTGGACAGTAACATACAGATACCCATAACCACCACAACGAGTGCAGTTCGGAAGTAAACGCGACTTGTGACATTGCGGATAAAATATGCGATAGTTGATAACGTTGAAAGCGGAGCCTGAAGTTCCTAATGAGCTCACTCCTGACACTTCCGGGACGATGATATCTTGGTCGCTTACAAGCATTTTCAAAAAATTACAAAAATCGCTCACACCATTAATGACCACAATTATCTATCACGAGTTACGAAGTTGCGAAGTTTGTAGGGCACCGAAATTCCCTCTGTGCTGTGGTTCAATTTTGTTCGATAAGCTTTTTCGTAAACATTTTCTCCATTTTGAGAAAGGAGAAATTTTGGTATCAGTTCGAAGGTGCCTCCTTATGAAGGAAACAACCCGTAGCAATTCCGCAACAAGAAAAAGGGAACTGTACCAAATCATGAGGCCCGAGTCTCAATTTGTTCTACGAAAGTTTACGACGGACATAAGGAGAGTTTCGATCCCACAGTAGCAAATATATGTGCAATGCTGTTGATGCAATTCTGCATTTCCATTCGACGAGCAAATACATTCCTTTTAAATACACCGTCCGTTAGATTTGTATCCAATTTCGGTTGGAATATATCCAAATCCTAGAGTACCACGTTACATACCGAAAAGTTACAAAACTCTCTCTCTCTCTGGTAAACTCTACTGAGCTCCAGATAGCTCATTTTTTAGGCGCAAACTTGATGGCCGAAAGGTCTGTGGTTGGAACACGACCTCTGAATCTCGACTGCACCTGTCTAGGCTTAGGTAACCTCACAGGAGCTCAGCCCTCGTGCTTACACCGGGGCTGGCATGACAGCTAGGTACCGAAACGGTGTTACAGCTGAACGATTGTCATGTTTGATTTGACGACAGCTAATCAGATTTAAGGGCAGAGATCAGTACAGTTTAAGATTCATTGGTAAAATATAGCGTGTCTGTCCACTTCTCCTAAGATCACTGCGATGCTTTGTCCTCAGATTCCTCCATACCTCCATTGTTTTTATCTTCAATCAATCTTCATTTTCCACGAGAAGTTTCAGTCAAGTAAAGACTTGTCTTTATCCTCCAAACACTTTTGAATGAATTTGTGTCTCTGTTTGGATGTATGACAGCTCGTCAGTCAAATATCTGGGGAGGAACGTCTACTTTAGTAAACAGTATGGGTTAAAGTATGGATATACGTGCTTGCGATTCACATACATACGGAAAATTATGTTCGGGTACAGGATTGCGTTACAGCGTTTCCATCTGCTTTGCATATACGAGTATTAGCTACAAAAAATGCAACCCAAGCACCAACTAAAACTATTCCCAATATGAATTCGCCTTGTTTTTTCCACACATTATCATTAACAGATTAAAAAAAATCCGGGCCATCTAGATAGCATAGTTAGTATCATTGAAAATCATCGCATTTCGCTTGTTATTCCAACAGACATAACCTTCTCCCGACTTGCTCTACGTTTAATATACAGTCCAGTCAAGCAGGAGGGAATCTTCATGTTCATGAGTCATGTAGAGGACTTGGAAGCACTTACTGGACGTGCCTGACTCTCAAACGCAAGTCATCAAGGCCGTTTTCTACTCGAGGGTTTTGTTATCTCGACACTCACGATCAACAGCAAGTCACGTTTGACGTACAGCGTTTGCAGAGAATTGCTGTTCCAGGGGAACGGCAGTGAAATTATTCACCACAATTGGTTATCAGTCGCAATTTGTTGTAACTGAGCTTCAAAATTTGTGGAAATATCATTATCATACGTGAAATGATGCGCGTACAGATATGAAAGCAGAATAGAGGTATCGAGAGAAAGGCCTGAACCAAATTTGAAAAGCACATACAGTTCTTCAGTAGCAGCAATAGTGGCTTCAACAGTTACAGCCTCACTCCCAGCGGTAGTAGTACCAGCAGAAACAGAGGCACCAGCGACTTCGGGCGTCGAAGATTCCTTCTCCTGTTGTGACGGGTCAATCCTGTTGATTGGCAAGAGGGTTCAGAATGGTAACAGATGAGCTATAGCAAATCCGCGTGGCGGTGGAAAAGAACGTTTTGTTCTCAACGGAACTCACTAGGACGAAAGAACGAGAAACTCACAATGAAGACGCGGCAAAGCTTACACCGTTCCTGAGGACAGTCTGCTGGGGTAAAAGAAGAGTTGAAAAACTCCGAAGGCTTGGCTGATTGCCTTTTTAAATTGAGAACCATCTATTACTGTAAGACCTCAAGTTATTCAGTGAGCAGCTAGCAACAAGCAGTTTGAATCACTGTGCAGCCCAAGTAATCAAGGCACCAACAATCGCAGCGGAACTGTAACCTGAGAACAGCCCACTCGGAGCGTGAATTTTGTCTTCATTTGTGTGGGTTTACATCAGAAGTATAAATAAAGTCAATGGTAATCATCAAGCAGTCCACAGTATCCCTATAAATAGTATAATGTCAAGGATTAATGATCATTCTAGTAAATGCTTCAGCGTTACCTGCGTTGTAATGTAGAAACAATATTCGCAATGTAATAATGTCACTTGTGTGTGATGAACAGACTATGGGGAAATGCCGCACGCCGGACTACACCGCTTTGGATTACCTTTCGCTGAGATGTCAAAGTGTTGAAATGAGCGAACCGGGTTGAAGCATTATCGCCTTCATTTTATAAGCATTGAGATCTTGATGAATATAGGAATTATCTCGATGAATCTACGACCACTCAGACAAACCGATAGAAAGCTGCGGTCCATACAGTGATGAGGATCAAACGGTCCATATAACCTGAACGACAAAAAAGCAGTGAAACTTACGCACGAGATGCTTGCGTGGGACGTTTCTTTTTACTACGCCCCTTCTGACCACCAGAGGGCGCTGCATCACTTGGAGTAGAAGACTGTTCTATGTCAGGCGAAGCAGCGGGCGCAGCACTGAGTGAAAGGGAGAATAGGCATGGAAATGTGGAACAAGGTCGTATCAAACCGGTCACGAAGAACTTGAACTGGAATAATCTCACTACTGCAAGTTGCAATCGATTGTGCAGAATGTCATAATAATAAAACTGGGCGTGCTTCTCGAATTATCCCGATTGGATGAAAGCTAACCAGAGGAAATACTGGATGTCTAGTTGAAAATTAAGTATTTAATTGAAATAAGGATCTCTTCAGTAAATAGAAAATAGCAGTAAAACGCCTGCAAAACGCGTGTACGACAAGTCATAAAAAACGAAACTGAAAAAATACAAAGACGTGCCCCCACAATAGTCTGATGTTTTGACCTCCCATGTGTAACTTTGATGCTCATAACTCTTGTTTTTCACAATGAGCATCTTCATTCACGCCACACTCCGAATGGAAAAAGACTTGCTACAGATAATCCACAAAGAAAGAGCTAAAAAATGAACAGCATACACTGCTAGCTACATGATCCCTGTCCGTCATTCAACTTTGAATGGTATTCGGAAGTCTGCTAGAGATGGCTCATGAATAGTCCTAGTGATGGGTGCACTGTTGTCCATTGGCTGCTTCTCGTCTCCTGACTGGCATGTCACACAGCACTATGCCAAAGCACACCCGTGCATGCTGTGTAATGCCACATACCGTTTGCGCTGGTCCGGATGCCAAGACTGTGGTCACAAACAGACAGCAGATACACACAGCATATGCAAAGAGGTGTCTGAAAGCCAGCATTACACATGAGTCGCACCCCTAGCAGCACTGCTGTCAGCTTGGAGCGCTGGACTATTCAGGACACTAAGTACAGGCTCTTTTACACTGATGGGAACAGTCTAACGGTTCAACCCGGTGATATCCGCTTCGGATAAACTGCAGGCTGTATTACTAATAACTCCAACCCACAATGTTTCGGTCTGTATTGGGCTGGTCATGGAAAGCCATTTCTAGCACCGTCACAAGCCGAACCATCTGACAGCCTCTGAAAGCTGTGGTGGATCTGGTAAACCTAATTTACCCTCCAACGTTCCGTCGTGGATCATTGTGTCCGCTGTGTTCCACAACTCCGACAGTACTTTTGTGTCGTGCAAACTTTAGCAATCTGGCTCGAAGTTGGTTGATTCGGTGAAACCCAGTTCGTATGGCTTTCTGCATACCGCCCTGTTTTGAGTTACCACATTGTGTTTCACCGAATTCATGTCGGCTGCTTTTAAACTTTGGATCAGGATATCCAGATATCGAAGATTCTCCCTGCCAGGGTTCCGTTTCGTTGTGTTCGGCTCGCCATTGAGAGGCCGCTTAGGAATCCTATTCCAGTCTCTCATTCCATCATCACCTAATTTTCTCACAACGTGCCAACAGAAAAACCAGCATGTCCAGCGCCCATTCGATCCAGTGAACACTGCATATGGAAGTCACTCAACTATGGCAAGTTGCGCTAGTACATGGTTAGTGTTTCAGTGTCATACAAGAGGACAGATAGAACTATCGCCTTGTACATGCAAGCATTGGTCTCCGATAGCAGACTTCGACTCCTCCGCACTCATTTCTCGAATTTTCCAAAAGCCACAATAGTCTCAGAAATATAGGAACCCAGCTCAAACCCGCAGGCAATGTGCTTCCGGGGTAGCAGAAGTCCACAAACTCTGTTTCAGAATTGATGAGTGGAGGAGTGTTGAGAAATACTGAATGAAAAGTGTTCTCCGCGTTGATGCTAGGGCGAAACTGCGCGTCAGCAGCTGATGACTTCGCAGCTAGGCGCCGGAATACACATTCATTCACAAACACGAGCATGCCGATTTTGGTCTGATGGCGCAGAATCTCCGCACCTAAAGGTCTAATAGTGAACAGACATCCGTCAAGTTGATACGCTAACTGTACGCCAACATCGTCGTCCACGAAAGTTGCATTCACGATGGCCGTCACATACATATTGAGGAGGGTGTGGAAAGGACGCACCTTTGTTTTATGTTAGTGAAGGTGCCAAAACCACTTGAAGTCGATCCATTCGTTCGCACTTTCACTCTCATCGCGTCATATAAGCTCAGGACGAAGTTGATGAATTTCGGCGGATAGCCGACACAGTCGAAAGCCTGCGTCAATCACTTCAGCCACCACGCGGCTGAGTAGGACTAGTAGGTAAACACACGACTGAATCATGAGGCGGCCTGTATGCAGCACATTCAGTTGGAGGACATCATAAACGAGAGATTCAATTGAGTCTCCCGTGAAAACCAAACTGATTTGCAAATGAGTGTATTCCTCAGTCGCTGTTCTCATTCTTTGGTTGTGTGAACGCAAAGGAATATGCAAAAGCACTCTACCCAGTTCGAAAGCAAGTCACGCATCGTGAATTCCCTCTTGATTCATGAACCCCAGAATTGGGTTGTGTGCGCGCCTAATCATTCTTCACATGAATTCGTGTTCTCATCAGCAGCCATTGACACAGTGCAAGACGATGGTTTGCCCTTCAGGGTTCTTATCAGTGCTGTGTGCAACACGGCTGGAACTTTGGAACAGGGGTCGACTATGATTGCAATTCTAACAACTTCATGCAGCATTTCATGCTGCTATAGAACGATGTAGTAAGCTATTCGCTGGTAAGATACGACGTCTATCTGTTTTAGTTCTGCTCTGAGCTTAGCATAAGTGTCTGGAGAACACAATATTTGGAATAAAGCAGCTGAGTACCAGCAAAACAGCAAATGTAGCTTTAGTGCTGAGCGTGGATTATCTTAGTGGTCCATACTTACGATTCTGGGATCGAACGGCCTACTTCAGCCACAACGCTGGGCGCCCGACTTTCAGCGATAGGTGAGGTGGGTCTGGCTCTGAGTAATAAAGGTGGAGTGCAAATGCAATTATCAAGACAACAAACAAAGAAATATCAGAAGGATATGTACTGATTGCAAAGGGTTTTCGAGGACGCAGAAATGTAACGACATGGATAGGGCTGCTGAACTAGTTGACAGATCAGATTATTTGGCTCACATGTCACCGGGTTCACAGAAAATCTCAAGAAAACAGCACGAAATCTGCGCCACCGACTTCTACTTTAGGATGAGCAGCCCATTTGAGTAAAGAAAACTGTGAATTCAAGAACAGACCTTTCTCGAGAGGCAACCAATGAGCTCCAACCAGTCATCTATGAGGGGAGAGTAGGGGCGTGGGTTGCTAATCTGGATTAAAAAACATGAGCAAGTAGGTTTTGTATTGACAAACTCATAAGTGAATTTCACCACTGTGCCCTTACATCAGCTTCCTATCTTATCACTAAAACATCTCGCTATTTCTCCCACCCTCTTTCTCTGTGTTCATAGGCCTAAAATAACTTATCACGCATGTCAAGGTTGTCTCGCTCCCCTAGGAAGTAGAAACTAGTTTAGCTGTTACCAGCTTTTCTGATTGTTCATATATGTTCTTATCTGTTTGTATGTTTCCCAGTTAATTAAGTTCAATACGCCTTGAACCGCTGCAGACTAGATGCAAAAGGAAGATCCGACGAAACAGATATTAATTTCACAGGCTGTCCCGAAGAGCTTCCCAAGCGTGCGTTGCAATGAAGTAAGGTGTTGGTTTTGCAACCCCAAGTGGCTGTGTGGAGAACTGTTTTCCAGAGCCCTGCTATTACACGCTTCTTGACGCAACAAGACCATATTGATTAATGGTCTGTGAGTATAATAAACATAGTGCTTAAGATACGAGATAACTACTGACCAGGCTCGAAGTACCGGCGATCAAGAGAACTTGCTTGTTTGAGTGTACTGAACTTTCATTGGAGATAAGGATAGGAGTGATCAGATTAGGAATTCAGCTTGCTGTAACGATTGGATGTACACTAGCAGTTGAATGCGCAGACATTCTCACATCATCCCGGAACCAACTTGAGGAACTTCTAGGGAAAAAATCTAGGCAGGAGAGTAAACTTGTGGTAAAAACGCGGCAATACTCGTTCAGGTACTGGACCCTTTCAGCGCAAAGTTGCCCCGAAGCATGAGGTTAGGAGTTTGTCCAAGTCTAGACAGGGGCAATCGAAAAGCCGCAGATCTTTCGGTCATGGGCTTCACTCCTTAACCGCTCATCAACCTCAAGCTTAAGCTCGAGTAAACTTAGGGTAGTAGAGTAAAATTGTGGAATACTTTTGAGGCCGTCCCCTTTTCCTGGTTTTAACCACTTTAACACCTCTATTGACACATCCCTTCTCATCAATTTTGATATGATGGGCGGACAAAGCTCCAATGCATGCAAAAGACCAATAGTGAAGTCACTCCAATGTAAGCGTAAAACTCTCTACGTTTCAAGCTATTCGACGCCCGCTGTTATTAGCACATGGCGATGAGGTTCTTGTGTATGTATTATTGAATAATGTAGACGTTTTCCCTCATACTGCACCATAAATTAACTCACCTACAACATCGAGGAGCTGCTTCAGATCGATAAAGGTTTTATAATTATTTCCAGAGTATTTTTAACTGAGTTTTTGATCGTATATGTGTGCAGGATAAACTAACAACCCAATAGTTGGGAGAAAGAAGAAGTATCTATTGGATCTATTTGCTATTTCGAATAGCAGTTGTTGTAGTTGCTTTTCGTAGGACAGAACAAAGCAGAACAACCGTTGGGAGAAAGAAGTATCTATTGGAGCTATTTGCTATTTCAAATAGCAGTTGTTGTATTTGATTTTCGTAGGACAGAACAAAGCAGAACAACTTGAGGGAAAATGTGGAGTTTAGTGCACCATACATGCCGGGCACTGGAACACTGCATTAGTTGTAAACATTTATGAACCTGTATGATTGACGTTGGATATCTCATCAAAGCATATTAGAACTCACCCATCATCTTGGCTCGATAGTCCAGAAGCTCCTCGAACCTGGCCCCAACCTCGGCCCCAGCCACGGCCACGGTATGGCGGTTGACTGTGGGACAAAAAATGGTAACATAGAGAAAATACAGTTCTTTTAAATGATGATTATATATCAACCCGGTCTTTGTCAATTATGCATTAGTAAAGACGTGTGAAGATAGCCACCATCGTGTGCCCTGCCTTTCATGATGAAGAATATGTAAGTATCAGGAGGGCCAGATTCCTGAAAACAACTACTGAATGCCAGAAATCTACTGAGACTCTCCGCTCCTCTAGATGTTGACCAGACAGACAACGTTCCCTCAACATGCAGCGCTTCACAGCCTTGTATCAAACCCAGACAGCGCGAGTCAGCGTTGATCAAGGTCAGACAGTGTCCGTCCAATAAATAGTTTGGGACCGCTGTACTTTGCACTCGCATGAACTCACGGTCCCACACTCCCTTGTTCGGAATATAGCTAGCTGTTGTGTTCCCTTCTGTGATTTTTTTTCCGGCATTATACACAGGAGCGGGTCAGAAGTCAGATATAACAGATTGGCGAATCAGCAGATATAACACACACACACACACACACACACACACACATCTGCACCTAACGCCCGTCATTCAGTGCAAGAGCCGTTAGGACGCTGCGCCTAGGCGATTTTGATCAAAATCCTCTTACCTAAATGCAGCCCACTTATTCACCAAAGAAACAAGACCTATCCACTGACTCTTTCATAAGTTTCAAATTTAATTTAGTTGAATAAATTATTGCTTCTACTACCGTAGCTAATCAAAACACTGTTGTGCGTCAGATCCCACACCCAAGCTTCCCATTCCAAACCACGTGACCTTCAGGTTGAGATTGTATAATTAAAAAATGGACGCATGTCCCAACTACCGCGGCGACAAACAAAGCCAAACAAGCAACCAAAGTGTGCTCATATTGTAGGCGAGATTTCGTTTCGTCTTAGCGGCAGACTGACCTACTTTTTGAACATTATCGAAAGTCGGAGAGTTGTGCTACATAAAATCGTTCAGTGTGTCAGTCACGGCTGGATTAGGACTCCACCTGTTCACCCACCCTAAAGACAAGAACAGATAGTGTAATAATGTTGCTATTCTATTCTAAATTCTCGGACGAAATTACAAAACCATCCAAAGTTTCTATGGATGCAGCCATTAGGCTACCCAGGCTTCGGTAGAATGATACTTAGAGAGTGACGTAGAAACACCATGGAACGTGGGGATGGACCCATCCAATCAAGGATCCTTTCAATATATTACAGACCAAATTTACAAAGATGAAAGTAGGCGACTCCGAAGTCATGTCGGCTGCCATCAGAAACTGGTGGCGAGGGTCAATCACTGTCTGCCGCCCCACCTGGAATGCCTGCGTGGACATCGACCGTGCACTTATCCATTTCTGGTTTTCATTCCGCTGATCCAACATCTGCCAATTGGACCGATGTGGGATGTCAACAATGACTGGGGACAACTATCCAAAGCCCTACTCAACACCACAACCCCAACGTCCGATAAAAATCAGCTAACTTCATCCAAGAACCATATCTCTAATGGGACGGTGGCTTTGCCGGAGGCCAAATCCCAGACCAGACTTCTCCTGGTTGCAACCACAACCAAACTGAACGCATCATCCCACACCAGGTAAAACGGATTCCAAGAGTAGACCGGCCAGTTTAGTGAATTGGAGAGACCGAAGCGAAAGACTTTGGCAACGCCCGCAGATTGTTCCACTCGATTTGTTCGAGTGGTCCTCAATAAACCCTTGTTAAAAAAAACAAACCCACAAAAAATGGCTCTTTGGTTTCTTGGTTTCCAGCAGAGGAGGACGTTTGGTCGTTGAGCCTAATACAGATGGCCACCTACCAATCCCCAAGCCAGAATGTTGTTCTTTGACAGAACGAGGAGCGTGAATATGGAGCCTTCTTGGGCCTCAGAAGTGTCCGGGAATATATCTGTAATCAAGTGTCGTCGCGTACTAGTCCTGACGACCTTTTACCTGCTTTGTTCTCGGACGGCAGCGAATTCTTCAAGGGTTGCCTGTGTAAACCATTTGTCTGTATGGGGAAAAGAGACCATCACAGATGACTGGCGTGAGTCGATAATAATACGCACTTTTGGAAGTGGTACACACAGTGGACGTAGTGTGCAGATAGGTGTCAGTTTGACTCCCTTTGTAACAAGGCTTTGCTGGTTCTTGGTCCTCTTGCGGTGGCATGAGAACCTGCAAACCTTGAGCATCAAGCGGGGTTTCGATCGAATAGGAGATGTATCGACCTGCTTTAGGTGTAAAGGCAACGGTAACTATACACAGTAACCATACTTTTGGTGTTCCTTGATTTTAAGGTTGCGTTCGACCATGTCAATCGGTCAGTGATGCAAACCACACTTGCTCAACAAGGTATGCCTCGGAAGTTTGGGGACATAATCTGGTCCCTATGTTCACATATTTTGAGGCAAGTAAGAGTAAATGGTGAGATCTATAAAAATTCGCTTCAAAAACTAGTGTCCAGCAAGGATGTCTACTCATTCCATTCTTGTTCAAATTGGTCATCGGTGAAATAGTCAGGCGAATGCTGAAAGGTTCTCAAAACTTCGGGGATGAGAACATTCTCAATCTGTAGAACGCAGAAGAGTTGTCCTCATCTCTGAAGATGAGCGTCAAGCACAAGCTATGTTGGATTATCTGACCATCATCATACCCTCTTGCGGCATACACTAGCGCAGAGTGCAGATGCATTACCATTACCCCCCGCGCTTGACTGGAGACATTGAAAGCAATGGCGGCTAATCTAAGTCAGTGGCTTTCGCGCTTTCACTTTCTTTGGGGGTTCTCTTATTGAACACTTGGAGATGTAGTCACCTCAGAATGTCAGCACAGGGTCCTCACCCGGCGAATGGACAGTAATATTCAAGATTACCACCGTCTCGATTCAAGATAAAGTGGCCACTGAAATTTCCGTTCTAACGCTTGACACAAAGATAGATCAGACCACTCAACCAGGCTAATTTGACCGGGACAAGATTGCTACACCTTCAGAAAAACAAGGGAACGACTAGAACGTGCGAGATAAAAACCGCCAGGATCGATAAAATCAGGCGAGTCTCCTCTCAACGACAAAGCCACTCTCCCATACTAGAGGTTGCGAACTTTTTTCTGTCATAGAAAACGTCCTTCTTCCGCGGAGCCATGCCTGTACTTTCAATTCAGCAATTGCTAAAGCTGTTCGGAATGCAGTAAGTTTTAAAATACAGAGTCAGAAATAAGAATTTATGGACTATGATGACAGAAAACTGTATAAGTCTACATATGAAAGCTGAATGGTTTTTAATTGCGGTGTTTTAGGCCATTCTAACTTATCCCGCCAGCACGGGCTCTGTCCCACCTACTCGTAACGTAAACTAGCATTCGGTTCACAGTGCTCGTAAATTGAATGTAGACGTAACGTAAACTAGCATTCGGTTCACAGTTGGAGGACGGAAAGGAATGATGGATGTACCTATACACTAAGAAGGGGTTACTACTGCTAAGTCATGAGGTGTCTGGAAGAAAACCTCTCAACCGATGGTATGTGACCCGATGACCAATCTACGAAGTTGTAATGATGTTTTCCTGACTGCAAAGTTCATGATGGTTTAGAACTGTCCACTTGTTCCTTTTTTCGTTAATGAAAGCTATCTCCAAACCGTCTGATTCATAGGTAATCCCAGGAACTTTTGACCCTTGGTCTTCTTAACCGACTTTTTTTACACAACTTTCTGAACCACTCGCTTCAGCACATGTGGTGCGCACAACTTTGTCAATGGCTCAAGTTGAGCTGGCGTTTTCTTGGGATATGCTTTCTTCACATTGTTTTTGTGCTATGGTAAGGTTTTCTTTGAACTTGCACGAGCTAATGCAAGGCTTCTATTCATTTCACGTACATATTTTCATACAGAATTGGCCTGTAATTCCGCACCATTTCATTGGGCCTCCCAGAGTACACTAAGTATTCTCCAGTACTTCTCTGAATCCAGAGAGGACGATATCCTGATACATGTAGTGGTTCAGAATCGCATTGTGTTCACAAACAGCATTGAGCGTATTCGACTGACACCCAACAGCGCACTGGCGTCCCCTCGAATTGTGACGGAACACGTGCAACCAACCGCGTTGCCAACCCCGGTGAACAAGCCGACAACTAGTGATCCTAGAACCGCAGTTGGCGCGTAGCAGCCAATATCAGCCGTACGGTAGCAAGACGGATTCCCATCACATTCTTCTTTTGAGTGTGTGTTGTGGATCGGCTGGACTCGACAGGGACCCAGAGGGGCTTCCAACGCGATATTTTTTTTATTGATCAGGTAATAGCTTGAAAGTTGGAGCTTCACGAGACGCCGGCTTGAACTCATCGAACATAAATCTAGAGGTTGTATTCAGGTTTTCTTATAATTGTCTATTAAATATGAAGTGTCTTTTATTGTTTTTAACCCGGCCACTGGAAGAAAGCTTGATACAGTTAACGAAGGTTGAGAGCAAAATACTGCTGTCGCCTACTGGAAGGTGGGATAAACAGCCAGTTGTTGCACGATACAGTGTGTATATCCCACAGTTTTCCTCCTGGCGTACAGTACAACAGTGTGAAATAAATGCAATGAAGAATGAATAAAAGACCGGCCTGTAGTAGGGCTAAGTGCATCCGGTGTGTGGACTGGAGTATACTGATAGGCTGAAAGGCCTTCATGGGACTGAAGCTACAGCTGGTAAAATCGTAGGAATACGACCCTATTGAAACGATATTTACAGCATAAACCTTAACAATAATCAATCGTTAACCCATTCAGTGAATACAGTCTCTTGTTTGGCTCGAACAACTGAATCCTGCCGGAGTATCATCAAACGCCAGGCGCAGACACCTCATTGTCGTTTCATTTAAAATTGACCGGGAAGCTGCATTATGGGTCGTAGAACCAAATAGTAAGGTCATAGTTTGTAAGTAAATTGCACTCGAGGAAACCCAAATAGTAAGGTGATACAGTTTGTAAGTAAATTGCACTCGAGGAAA